CATTCTTTGCCCTCGTTACCTCTAACTTAGCTTCTTTACGCGCTTTCTTGTACTCCACTCGCAACGCCGCTCTTTCCTCCTCAACATTGCAGCCCATGTACCTCAAATACGCCACCTTCTTAGCTTCCACCTTACTTCGGACTGAATCGATCCACCACCAATCACCCCGACGCCTACTCCCAGAGCCAGAGCTCACACCTAACACTTCCCTGGCTGATTCCCTGATGCAGTTAGCAGTCCGCACCCACATATCTATAGCCTCTCCGGTCGATTCCCACGCACCTTTCTCCTGCACTCGCCTGGTCAACTCAGCGATGTTCTCCGCACTTAGTCTCCTCCACCTGATTTGTGTGTTGCCACTCAAAGCTCTCCTATGTTTCTCCCACCTGATCATAACATCCATCACGAGAAGCTTGTGTTGGGTAGTGACGTTTTCACTCGGAATTACTTTAGCATCCTTGCAGAGCACCCGATCACACCTGCGCAAGAGAAGATAGTCGATCTGTGTCGTCCCCGCTCCACTAACAAATGTAGCCAAAATGTAAGTTTGATGAGAAACTAAAACGGAATCTTCCAAGGCCAAAAATACAACAAAGTCCCATGATTTAAAGTCTGTTCTTTAGGGCTTGAACTATTAACTTACAGTTTCTTCTAGTTTCTTCCAGTTACTTTAAGTTTTTTCAGTTTCTTCCAACTATTCTCATTTTCTCCCAATTCTTTATACTCTCCAACCAATCACACTAAAAATGAAATGTTTTAATGTGATTATTATTATTATTATATTATTATTATTATTATTATTATTATTATTATTACAACTCCTATAGTTTATAAATTATTTTTTTCATCGCACTATTTTTACGATTTATATTCATTATTTTTTCTACAACTTTTTGACATGAATATGATAATTTTTTGTATATTAATAAACATGATAAGGCAGAAAAATATCAATATAAAAAAACTATATTTAAAAAAATTATGGGTAATATAGTGACATAGAAAAAGACTAAAATATGAGTAAAATTGTTACCCGGTTCATGCGGGTTAGCGGACCAAAGCCCTAGCTATTTGGGAAGAAATAGTTTATTTGTTTGAATTTCGGGTTATTTTCCAAACAAAGCCCGATTTTGAAACCGATCACATTTTTGAAATTGGAAAAATAAATGGAACTCGAATACGTAATCCGGCGGGGCCCACATAGTCGAAATCAGTGACGTACGCAGTAAATTCTTCTAGACGGTTTTCGTGGCATTGCAAAAACAATAAAATGTAAAAAAAATGTTCCATATCTTTATTCAAAAAATAGGACTTACAATCAAAATAAAATGTCAATCATGAAATAAAAATAGGTTTGATTATATTATGTGACATGTGTGATATTTAAAGTATAACTACAAATATATTATTTATAACAAATACTGCATAAATAAACTGAGGTGCAACGTAACCACAAAATGTTTTTAAAATTTAATTTTTATATTTATGCTAGCTTTATATTATAATTATTTTTTGTAAAAGTAATTTTTTGTATTTGAAAAATAACAATAGCCGGGGAGGCTGTCGAACTTTGGGGAGGCGGTCCTTCGCGATGATGCCGTGACCGTCGAACCTCATTGTTGCCGAGATTTACAGCCTGAGCTCGTCGAGGAACCATAGCCGAGATTGTCGAATTTCAACCACTCTGATTTCTACTCCTTGATGGGTTTCTCGGGGAGGCTGTCGAACTTTGGGCCGGCGGAGACGACTCCCTGTGTGTTGAATTTCGAGGAGCATTGTGCTCTGGGAGGACTGATGAACTCTCCTAGATTCGGGTTTTAGCCGGCCCAATCCGCACCGGCTTCGTACTCGGCGCCGAACCCGAAAATAGCTTCAGCATGGTTAAAGAGTAACCGGAAACAGACGCCAGCGCATCCGCAGCAACCGCAACAGCCTCTGCCGCCGCCTTTGTGGCGGTGGTGAAGAAAAAGAAAGAAGAAGAAAGGGGTGAAGAAGAAGAAAAAGAAGGGAGTGGGAAGAAGAAGAAAAAAATGGGGTTAAATTGAAAATTTTAAAATATATAAATTTCAATTTAGCTCAAATGATTCGAAGTTAACCTGGAAACATGTAAATGAACTTTTAGTGAAAGAATTATGTAAGTTTAGGGATTTTTTTGAAAGTATTTGAAGTTTAGGTACCACTTCAAAATTTAAGTGAAAGTTCAGGTACCATTATTAAAATTTACCCAAATAGTTTAAGGAGGCTTTTGGTTCGGGGTAACAGAATGAGATTTCCCTCGTTTCCTGAGTGGTTTGTTTTAAAAAAAAATGTTAGGGGTATACCTTTGGTGTACCCCATTTGTCCCCTACTCCCTCCTCCACTACATAAATGAGCAAAAAACTTAAAAATAAATTATTAATTAAAAATGAAATAAAAATATGTGGTAGAGAAGGGGTTGGGAACAAATGTGGTATATGTTTGGTGCCTAGCATTGCTTAAGGGGGGTGTATTCAATTTATATTTTAAAAGATTTTGATAGATTATTTAGAATCCATCAAAGGATTTTATAGGATTATATTTTTCTTTTTTGTTTTGTTTTTTTTCTTTTCTTTTTTCTTTTTCTTTTTCTTTTTTTTCCTCCTCCCCCCATGAAACCCTAGCTGCTTCTTCCGTCCGTTCTTCCTATTTTTTCTTCCCTTTTTTCTTTTTCTTTTCTTTTCTTTTTTTCCTTCTTCCTCCCCAGAAACCCTAGCCCCTCTCTCTTCTTCGATCTTCGTCCTTCCTTCTGCTATTTCGAAGGTCGCCGTCACCACGTCGAGTCGCCGCCATCGTTACTCCACGTTGAGTCGCCGTCGATTTCAAGTGATGTTGCTCAAAATAGGTCCAATCCTGCGTGATGATGAAAGAGATTAAGCGAGATTGGGGCACGAAATAATCCTGCGTGACGATGGAGGATACACCGGGGAAGATTGGGTTCCGGTGAGAAAACTAGCTGATGGGCCGATACCCAGTGGGTGGCTCAAATGAACCATTTACACAACTTCGGGTCAAGCACTTGGAGAATACTCAGGCCTGGGCCGGCCCATGGAGCCAGGCCTATTAGAATAAGTGACCAACGCTAGAGGGGGGGTGAATAGCGTTTGATCGTAGAAATCGCAGGAATAAAAAATTAAGAACGTGAAAAATAAAGAGCGTAGAAAGCGTAAAGGGAGCACACCAAGATTTATACTGGTTCACCACAACGTGTGGGTAATCCAGTCTCCCGAGAGACTCTCTCGAGCTACACTACTTCCATTAAGCTTACGGGTGCTTAACAAACCGTTACAACCTGAGAACTCGAGTCCCACGAGCCTCAACAACACTTGCTCGGAGATACCACACTCCAAGACTTCAACCCGAAGGAAAATACCTTTCCTTCGTAACAACAAGGGAAACAAGCTTCCCTTAACGTGTATACAACACTAAGACACTCAAGAACAAGGCTCTCTTTTAGAGTAGATGTTGAGTAAACTATATACGCTCAAGAACAACTCAAACTTCACACAATTTGGCTCTAGAAAGCTATGGAAAATGATGTGATTTGGATGCAATGATAATATGAATATTGTGAAGTGAATTGATAAGAAAAGCAGACCCAAACACCCCTTTTTATAGTGCAAAAATAGGCTCCAACGGACCAATGCATTGAAGGGGTGATTGGCTTGATTTATGGGATTGAATAAATTTGGGATCTGCAGAATATTGGCTTCCCATCGATGTTTGGGACTTACCCATCGCTGGTAAGCCAATTTTCCTTCAGTTTTGAAGCCAACGGTTACCTACCCATCGATGGGTAGATGCTTCCCATCGCTGGGTGGGAGGTTGACTTTCAAATAAGGAAAGAATCAGCCTTAAATGACTCCCAACGGTCATGCCTTCCCATCGATGGTTAAGCCTTCCCATCGCTGGGTTCCCATCGATGGGTAAAGCTTCCCATCGCTGGGTAAGGGCATTCTGCCTTGTGGTAATGTTGCACCAAGGCTTTAACAGCGATGGGTA